TGAATTCCATTCTTTGTACTGTAGTGTCTTTGGTCAATTAGTTAAACCCCTTGCAGAATACAATAGAAAAATCTTATTTTTTTTGTATCTTGAATCTTTCTTTAAGTAATACTAACTTTTAATGATAAATTTGTTTAGGTAAACTATTAAAAAAAAACATGTTTTCCTGTGTAACTAACTGGAAATCGAAATGTAGGTTCACATTAAATTACACTAACAAAATGAAATGCCAATTGTTTAATGCTTGGAATAATTTAGTTACCATTTAAGAATATTTTATTGAAAGTTAGTTATTTCTAATTTAATTTTCTATTCTAGTTTTAACTTTTGTACTAGTTAACCTGATTCACTTTTGATAGTGTCATGATAAATTAATGAAATTGTTTTTTTTGTACTTTATTTGTTTTAAGTAGTTTAGTAAATTATACAAAATTTATTTACGGATGGGGGGCACTTGTATAAATTTAGCTGCCTAGGTTGTATTTAGTTAAGCTTACGATCAAGTAAATTCTGTAGTAGAGATAAACAATAAGAATAAGCGTTGTGCATGATTTTATAATGTATAAAATGAATTTCTGACCGGATCTGTGAGTCGATTATTTCTTAATTATCAGTATAGGGGTTATGGAGATTGATTGAGATCATGAACTGATTGATGTTAGACACTAACACCATTGGATACTAGCTTAGTGGTCCAGTAGCTTAAGCGTTTTTGTGCGAGACTAAAGGCCATGAATAAGCACAGCTGTGGAGTCCCACAATAGGACTAAACAGCCGTCCAGTGCTTCCAGGTTTTCAACGTTGGTCCAACAACAATCTATTCATGATGTCAATCAAAAATATCTCTTAATTGTTCATGTATTCACATATATTTTTCTATTTAAGTTTTAATTCTATTTCACTCAAGCCGATTTGCAAAAACAAAAGCTTAAAACCCTACAAAATATGGTAATATTATAAAATTGCTTGATTAATCCAGAACAAACTACCCAATAAAAGGTACGGATCAAACTTGACTTCATCTAATCATTATTGAAATGTACTCATGCATACTGAATAGTTACAAGTCAAGTCGTTATTATGCAGGGGTTCCCTAAATATTTTATATTGTGTAATGAGAAACTTTCCAATATCCGTCCAAGAAATATTTGAAGTTGTTTTATATGAATTTGTAGTGAATAAGAACACAAACGGGGACAATCGTATGTATTATAGAATCTCCTAGTAAAATCTAAGAATCATACAATAGATACTTCATTTACAAAATACCAATCAGTTGTTCGATCGTTTCTTAACCAATCACTCTCTGTTCTTGTTCTCTTCTCTTCAATTTTCTCAACTTTCTGATATCAGTCATTCCACTTTCCAATGATGATATATACTACTGATATTGACAGATATCAGTAGCACTCATCATGGATTCATAAAAACTGGTACAAGAATTTGATAGGATTTTATCATATAACAATCCAAAAAGACAGATTATTCTTAATTATTACAAAATCATTATGCAAAAAAGAAGATGCGGCTTCGTAGGGATCAGTTCGATACATTATTTTTCTCTTTATGACGATAGAAATGTACGTTATTCCATAAAATGGATATCGTTGAAATTTTAAATAACTCTTCAAGTGGTATTTTATCAAATTAAATGAAAGTAAACCTGTGAATTTTGCCTGCTTGAACACCTGGGCTACCAGTTCCTTCCATCTAGACATCTTAACAAGTTATCTGTTTATAAGCGAAGATGGATAGTGTTTAGCAGTTGAATCCAGTTTGACGCGCGTTTCGTCCTATTTGGGACTCATCAGCTGAATGTACCTGTAGTTCACAGTTGATGTTCACTCTGGGACTCAAACCTAACACCCTTCACTTCAAACACCATCGCATTATTCACTCAGCTACTGAGTCCTGATAGCTATTTGCTTGTGGAATGGGATGAACTTAAATTCACTTGGTATTGTTTTGCTTATATCTGTTTCTTTGTTTGTTTGTTTTAATACATCATAATATCAATTAATTGAATAACCTATTCAAATGCATTTATGAACATTGACCTATACAATCTTTCATTGTACAAGTTACAAAAGTGCTTAAACTGAGATATCATGGTTACTGGCAATATGTGTACATTATTTAGATGTTGATTGATTGGACTGCAAACCAAATTTGAATCTCACGTGGGGGATCGTCGATGAACGCCGCTGAGAAATCTAATACTAGGACGAAGTGGTAGTCCAGTGCTTTTAGGTTTTCCATGGTAGTCTAGCATTAGTCGACTCATGAATTCAACTATTAAATTACTAAAGTCTCTACGAGACTCCATTCTAATGATAATCATCATCTGCTCACTAATGACTGTCTTCAAGAGGTGTTTCCTGAAAAGCCATGACCAGTGGAGATCAACTCTATCTGTTGTGAAGTAGTTAATCACTAAAGACAATAGTGGACAGTCGTACAATATCATGGATTGATTCAAGTTAGACATTAAAAATGTTAGATACCGGCTCAATGATGTAGGGATTAAGTGTTTGTCTGTGAGACAGACCAAAGGTTCTGAGTTAGAACTCTACGAGGTGGATCATGGATGAACACTACTGATAAGTTTCATACTAGGACAAAACAACCGTTCAATGTTTCCAGGTTTTCTATAGTGGTCTAGATTAAATGGATTCATGAATTCAATCATTCATATTTGCTACAAATTCCACAAACCCTCATTCTGAAAACAATCACTTGTTGGAGTCTTTTTTTTTAATGATCATACATACTGTTAATAAATCTGTGGATCTACATTTTTGAATAAGGAATAGAAAACAACTCCCCTTCATTTCCATACTATTACAGAGTATTATGTATGTTAAAATGGTTAGCAACAATAATTTACCGAAATCACATAGGTAGTATATAGACTTTGGCATGATACATTGAATAACTGGAGATAATGTATGGTTTTTTTTTTAAATTCAATTTATTATTTATGTACAGTGTTATTAGTTGAAAACTTTTCGATTAACAATCCAAACTCTGGAAACACTGGATGATCGTCTCGTCTCAATATGGGACTCCTCATCAATGCACATCCACTATCTCACGTCAGATCGATAAGTTCTGGGTTTAAGTCTTTCGTGTGGGATCATGGATGCGCACTGCTCACGTGTCACATACGAGGACGTAACGGCTGTTCAGTGCTTTCCGTTTTTCAGTGGTGATCTAACATTGATCGATTCATGGTCTCAGTCAATATTCAATATACAATATCCCGTCGTTTATATTCAGAATGAAATCTTATTCAATTAGTATTAGAATATTTGAATCATGAGCAGATTGCGTTGATGTAGACTTTATGTCATAAAATTAGAATTCAAAAAAAAAGAAACATACTAGACTGAAGTCTCAGATTCGACACTAAAACTAAGTTCCATGAATATACAAGTGATGAATTACATATGTGATAAAATGCGTATTCCGGATTTCACTGTTAATCACGTTCCCTATAAACTAAACGATACATAAACGTAACAGTTAGAAAATATCTTCATTGTAAGTTCATGAAAGACTACTGTTCGATTTTCAATTCAAAATTAATTTCAACAGTTGAAATCATGAGTCAATTGAAGCTAGAACACCATGAAAAACCTGGAAGCACTGGACGGCCGTTTCGTTTTATTGTGGAACTCCTCATCAGTATGCATCCACGACCCTGCCTCGAAAGATTCGATTCAATTGACTTATAATTTCGATTGTTGAAATTATTACAATCTCAACAAAACCCCTCCTGATACTAATCAAAATCAATTGATCATTGTTGAGGTGTATTAAACTAAGGCGAAACACTTGTTCAGTTCGACTTGGTCTACATTGCTTTAACCAAATGTTGTCTGTTTATCTTCGTTTATAATCAAATAACCATTCAAAACTAAATGCATAATGTACGATAATACGATACATAAACAATGATTACGTATGTAATGAAGCTACACAACTAACACCGATATACATCAATATATACACCAATATTTAAACTGTATACATCAATGGTGGCTAATAGTGGAATCCAGTTTGATGCGCGTTTCATTCTATTTCAGACTCGTCAACTGGATACACCTGTATCCTACAGTGTTGATGTTCACTCTAGGACTCAAACAAAATACCGTTCTCTTTAAACGCTTCATATTCATCTTTGCCTACAATGCTTATAAATGAAGTCAATATCAAGGTAATACGTACAATATGCACGTATACCAATAATTGACAAGCAATAATGGGAACATTCAAGTGAACAATACCAAATGAATGTATGCATTCTAATTACATTGCAAACATATTCGATACAACACTGTATAGAACACTAGGTTATACTGATAACACTTAAAAGAGACATAAAGAATTTCTTTTAAAAGTCGATTGTCTGACAAAGTTAAAACATGGCTGAATACCTTAAATCTCTTTGAATAACCTAATCTCAAATAAAACACCCCAAATGACCTGGTACGGCTGACAGTCGGGAGAGTCATCTCGCCCTCTCGAAATACTCTCATATGGCCACAGGTATATAAAAACTGACAAAGATGTCCTATTCACTGACTTCACGCGACAGGGCTGTTGTTCACGAAATTAAAAAAAAAACAAAAAGCGAATATCCAGCGCTTTAACCTGGTTGCTGGACACCGAGAGTCCACCTAGGAGAGTTGGAAAACTCTGATTCTACATAAACTCCAGAATCCTGAGCAGAACAAACGGTGTATGAACCTATTGTTGGTCACCGGTTACCAAGGGACCTGTATCTCCTTACATTGCTCCACTGCCTTATGGATCAGACCTTTAGGTCGAACGCTCCAAATATGGCCCCCTAAGAAAACGAACTCTTTTGGTTTGAGCACCGGGACAGTATCACAGCCCACACATATATATCACATAATTTGTGTAGCTTATATTCGATACAAATCATAATTTATCAAATAATTCAATTCAATTCAATTCATATATACATAACTTACTAATAATAGTTAAGATAAACATTAGCACCATAGATGTGTTCATTTTGTCGCTGTTGTTATCGTTGTTATTGTTGTTGTTGCTGTTTACTTTTTTCTTCTTTTAAAAAGATTTACTTCTTATCTTGTTTGTTTTGTTTGTTTAAATTAATTCTTTCACTTAATTATTCACTATTCAATATATTTTAATGATGATTAATAAGAGAGAATAATTTACATTAAAATTTTTGTATTTATACTAAGGAATAAAAGTTTTTTTTTGTTGTCAACTGTACTATTATTGGTTTATTTCTAGTTGAAATGATTAGATTATACAATTATTTATTTTTTGGGGGGTGGGGTGGGGGCGGGGAACCATTTTTGTCTGTTCAAATTACCCAGTAACAACAACCAAAAAAAAATTGTCGATAAGATGAATTTGATTGGTTGAAAATTAGAAAAAAAATAAATTTTTTTTGTAGGAGAAAAAGATTTTAACCAATCAGAATTTAATGATTTGTATTTTTTTTTTAAAAATTAAAATTAAATTTTTATTTGGTGAATACAATAAAAAGATAATAAGTGAATTAATAATCATTATATATATGATTGAAACAATATACAGATTACTTACTTACTTCTGTTATTCATCGTGGAGGTGCTTAGGCGGCTCATTAGCATTCTTTATCCAACTCTAACGTGAACAATGCCTTACAGTTCAGTCCAGTTGTTATTCATCTGTTTCATGTGTGATTTCGATTTCCGATGTAGTGTGTTCTTTTGTCTTCTTCTTTACAGGTTCCTTTCAGGATTCCAAGTTAGGGTTTTACTCGTGATGTAGTTTGATCATTTCCACAATATATGTCCTATCCACCTACAGGGTACTTTCCTAATTTCTTCTTCAGTTCAAAGTTAGTTCGTTCTCTCTCATAGTATGTTGTTGCTCATAGTATTCAGCCAACGAACAATCAGTATCCTACATGAACAATTGTTTATAAATACTTGTACCATTTTGATGATGATTTTAGTAATTCTCCACGTTTCATCTCCGTACAGTCAAACTATCTTGATGCTCACATTGAAGATGTTTGTTGACGGTTCACCGAATATTATTATTATTATTATTATTATTATTAATTGCTATATTCAATATTATATTCTGGTATAATATATAATTCTAAGCACAAGTTATTTTGACTTTTCAAATGAAAGACATGTTTAAGAGTACAGGTTATTGATTAGGTTAACTCTAACAACCTGTTCATCACAGAGTATACTTGCTAGGTAAAGTATTATAGAAGTTTTATACTTTTGCTTGCGTGCATGGATTTTAATGTAATTACGTCTCGTCCTACCAGAAGATATACAAGGACAAAGATATATGTGAAAGTGATGGTTAGTATCTGATAAGATAACACCTGCCAGGAGTTTGCAAGACTTGAGATGTCTATCCACAACCATATTATTAATGTCCTCGAAAGATTCACCACATATATTGCTAACCGCCTTCAGCACTCTCCGCAATACAGTTAAGTCTTTTCTTAAAAGCCTGGAAAAAATAATGAAGAACAGTAAAGAATACTAGGAACTATACAGGAATTGACAAATTGTAAGAGTAAATGACGAGTAATCCCAAATGCATGATGCTATCCAGATACGTGAAACTTTCCACTTCATCCAGAGTTTCTCCATCAAGTGTGATTGCGTTGGTGTTCTTCATGTTGTATTTTAGGATCTTTATTTTTATCTTGTTTATGTTGAGGCCTAGCAATGCACATACTGTTGCTACACTAGTTGTCTTTATCTGCATTCGTTCGTGTGTATAAGATAGTAGGTCCAGGTCATCTGCAAAGTTCTAATCTTTCAATTGATTCTAAGCTGTCCATTGTATTCTGTGTTTCCTCTCAGATGTTGAGGTCTTCATAATCCAGTTCAGAACAGAAAGAGAGAGTGGGCAGTCTTGTGTGACTCTAGTGCTCACTTGGAATGCATCTGTTAGCTGTCTTCCATTCACGAAGTATACAGATTAGCTGGAACTTAGTGTCATACATAGATTGATTTTGGTTGGAGATAAATAATAATACGTTTAAAAATGTACACAAATCTTTAGCCATAAGCATGAAAAGATTGTTCTTGAACACATAGACTTGATTTAAGATTGGTCACATTTAACGATTCCGATTTACAACAGAGGTATAAGAATACATTTTTTGATGGTTCAGGTTTTATTATTATCAATAGTATCGAATATAAAGTCCGATGTTGTGTGATTCAAGTCAAATGTAATTGCAAAATAGAGGATCCCATAGCTTTTCACCGTTTCTCTTTGAAATATAATTAGAAATGTTCTTCGATGAATGATTAATTAACCTAGATCCTCAAATGTAGGTGAACAAGAATAGAAATGTTCAACCTGTCAATGAAAATGTAATGCTTTTTGAATAGATGAGTTCTCATCAAACAATTGTACACAATGAGGCTGAATACATTATTTCTTTTAATGAACTATGCAAACGATCCCTATTTGATTTATGTTAAAGATCAACCTTGAATCCAACATTAAAATATACTTTGCTCATCGATTCACTGATATTATTTAAAAAAATTGCTGAATTATCTAGTATTTTCATGAGTCGATCTAAACTAAACCAACATTGGAAACATGAAAACATTAGACGGCTATGGGATTCCTCAGAAGTGTGTATCCACAATCCCTCACGGGAGATCTAAAATTCTATGTTCAAGTCCTTCATGTGGGATCATGAATGGGCATTGCTAAGAAATCCCATACTAAAACCAAACAACCATCCAATACTTCGAAGTTTTCCATGATACTTACTTACTTACTTACGCCTGTTACTCCTCGTGAAGGAGCATAAACCGCTCATCAGCATTCTCCATCCAACCCTGTCCTGGGCAATCCTTTCAAGCTCGTTCCACTTCTTATTCATCTTTTTCATATCTGCTTCTATTTCCCCACGTAATGTGTTCTTTGGCCTTCCTCTTTTCCGCTTCCCTTCAGGATTCCAAGTTAGCGCTTGTCTCGTAATGCAGTTTGATGATTTCCTCAATGTATGTCCTATCCATTTCCATCGTCTTTTCCTAATTTCCTCTTCAGCTGGAAGCTGGTTGGTTCTCTCCCACAAAAGGCTGTTGCTGATGGTATCCGGCCAATGGATGTTGAGTATCATGCGTAGACAGCTATTAATAAATACCTGTACCTTCTTGATGGTGGTTGTTGTAGTTCTCCAAGTTTCAGCTCCGTACAGTAGAACTGCCTTGACGTTCGTATTGAAAATTCTGACTTTAATATTGGTTGGCAGTTGTTTTGAGTTTCATATGTTCTTCAATTGAAGGAATGCTGCCCTTGCTTTGCCAATCCTCGTCTTTACGTTTGCATCTGAACCTCCTTGTTCATCGACGATGCTTCCCAGTTATGTGAAGGATTCCATATCTTCCAGAGTTTCGCCATCAAGAGTGATTGAATTGCTGTTCTCCGTGTTGTATTTGAGGACCTTGGTTTTCCCCTTGTGTATGTTGAGGCCCACTGATGTAGAGACTGCTGCTACACTGGCTGTCTTTATCTGCATTTGTTCGTGTGTATGTGATAGGAGGGCTAGGTCATCTGCGAAGTCCAAGTCGTCTAATTGGTTCTGAGCTGTCCATCGTATGCCGTAGTTTCTCTCAGATGTCTTTTCCATGATAATCTAGCTTTAATTGACTCATGAATTCAACTAATAGAAAATTTTTGTAATTGAATTCATGAGACTACCATGGAAAACGTTGGAACACTGGACGATTGTCTCATCCTAGTATGAGAATCTTCAACAGAACGCACCCAGGACCATGTCCTACGAGATCTGAACCCAGTACTTACCTAACGCTTAACATTTAGATCACTGAGCTAGCACTAAAACCTCCATACCTACCCACATTCTGTAATTTAGTTGTTTACAATTGAACTAAACATTTATAAGTATTCTTGAAATTAGATATAACTAAATAATAAAACACTTTTGAAACTAATTAAGTGTATCGTTTATGAATAAAAAAAAATAAAACAGATTTTACGGAGTAAAAATAAATTTCCGAATTTGTTTTAATGATTTTTTTTTAGAAAAAAACTATTTAGGGGATAATAAGCAAAGATGGATAGTGGAATCCAGTTTGACGCACATTTCGTCCTATTTGGGACTCGTCAGCTGGGTGTATTTGCATCTCAGAGTTGATGTTCACTCTGAGACTGGTACCCAGTACCGTTAGCTTCAAACGCCATCAAGTTCCTCACTTAGCTACAGAGTCCTGATAGCCACTTACTTGTGCAATGTGGTGAAGTGTAATTTGACTCTGATAGATACCGATGAGAATAGTGAATGGTAACTATTGAGATCTATTTATGGATTAATACTATACATACACTTCTTATTGTATAATTGTTAAATAGCTAAACTATATGCATATTCATGTTCCTACTATTGTAAGCTTTATTTCTACCCTTACTTACTTACAACTGTTACTCTCAGTGGAGCATAGACCACCGAACATCATTCTCCAACCCATTCTGTCCTCGGCCTTCTTTTTCAGTTCTATCCAATTGTTGTTCATTCTTCTTATGTCTCTCTCCATTTCTCTACATAATGTGTTGTTTGGTCTTCCTCTTTTCCTATGGCCTTGAACATTCTAAATGAGGGCTTATCTTGTGACACAATTGGGTACTTTCCTCAATGTGTGTCCTATCCACTTCCAGCTGTTCTTCCTGATTTTCTCGTTTGCTGTTCTCTCCCACAGTAAGTTGTTGACCTATAGAGTATTATTATACCATTTGATGATCTTGAGTTATACCCAGTCTATTAATGACAGTCTCCCACATTCACATCCACTATTTGGGTTGATCTTGTATAAATGTTATTTTCTATTTTATGATACGATGTGGTCTGTTTAATATGTATATAAACCCAGTATGTTTGAAATACATGTCACATAGGTTGAGATTAGTGTTCTGGACTCTAACAGGCTAAGTTAAGCAGGAAAAAGGACCAATAACGACTATAGACTGATCATACGGTTTTTATGCGTCATTGGTTTGGTCAATAATTCACTGTTCTTTAATTGAAGGTATCATTACGTTTTTATATAAAATAGGACACAAGGCCATAAGTTATGACAGGCCACTTTTCCATTTTCTATAGAAGTCATAGACCTAAAGGCTGAAAGTAACTTAATTAAACTCTTCGAATATATAACACTGAATAATGTTATTTTAATTAATCAGTTTTTTACTTATGGAAAACCATTGTCTATTCAGCTTCAAAGATACAACATTGATGAGTGCATGTGAAGTTTCAAAAAAGATCCAATTACAATGTGATGTCAACCTATATTTTGAGATATCCTATAAGCAACGTTCAGTTCTTCGATACGAACAGCAAAATCGTTCGACTGTACAGAGATGAAACGTGGAGAATCATTACAATCATTATCAAAATGGTACAAGTATCTATAAACAATTGTCTATGTAAGATACTATTTGTCTGTTGGCTCGATACTATAAGCAACAACTTACTGTGAGAGAGAACGAACTAAAAGTGAATGATGAAAATAAACAAAATGGTTGTCAGAATATGCTTCTATAGATTAATTATGGTATGGTATAAATGTGGTGGTAGTGACGGTGGTGTTGGTGGTGGTGTTCTAGCCAGAAACATCTGCTGAAGCCTACTAGGGATTAGGTACAATAGATTGGGCGATCGGTTCGATCTCTACAACCTCCTATGTTGGTTAATAGGATTGCCCCTCTTATCCATCAGCGCCATAAGCAAGTCTTATGTCGGATTTTGCTTCCGTGATAAATATGATATGTATATATATTCAGTAATCAATATCATACACAAAGGGAAAAGCAAGATTCTTCGATACAACACAGCATGCACCAATCCAATCACAATTGACGGGGAAGCTTTGAAAGATGTAAAAACCTTTACATATTTGGGCGGTATCATCGATGAACACGGTGGATCTGATGCAGATGTGAAGGCACGGATTGGCAAAGCAAGAGCAGCATATTTACAACTGAAGAATATCTGGAACTCAAAACAATTAGCAACCAACACCAAGGTCAGAATTTTCAATAC